GCATGCACCACCACGCCTGGCTAATTTTCGTATTTATAGTAGAGACGGGGTTTCACCATGTTGGTCAGGCTGGTCTTGAACTCCTGACCTCAAGTGATCCACCCACCTTGGCCTCCCAAAATGCTGAGATTACAGGAGTGAGCCGCCGTGCCTGGCTGGGATTCGTTGTTTTAACCCTGCCCCAACCAGAGTCTCTTCTGCTAAATGCCCCTTCCAAGTCTTCCAGGCAGCCTGGGCATCTGAAACACTGGGATTCCTCATTACCCAAGGTTATTCTGTATTCATGGCAATCACTACATCTTCCACATAAGACACATAAGACACTTTGGATTGACTTCAAGACTCACCTTGACATTGGCTTGAAGCTTTCTCCAACTCTGGCTCCTGTGACAAAGACTCTATTGATTGTCCCTCCACTTCTGTTTGTTCCTCTCTGACTCCTCACTGGACACTTCATCTTGCCATACTCTCACTTTTCTCTCTCTTCTCTCTACTTTCTAGTGTTCACCTGTTTTGACGTCTTCAGTGACCTCCTCTCTTTGGCTCCTTAGTGATGGAAGGCAAAACAGTGAGGCAGACCTGGGTTTCCAGCCTGGCTTGGAAATATATATACAAGCCAGGAACCTTGGAAAAATTTATTTATTGCTCTGTTCCTTTGTTTCCTCATCTATCTGATAAGGATAAGAATAGTGTCTTCCAAAGGAGCTCTTGTGAGGCTAAAGGAGATATCATAGATACCCTGTGCCCATGATAGAGTGAGTGCTCAAAAATATTCACCAGTGGGGCCCCATTATCATTTCAAACTCACCCTATTCAAGCCAAGCTCATAATTTCACTCCAAACTACAGCCTTCTGTTTTTTGCCCCCTTCATCCTGCTAGTGCCCTCACTTTGGGGTCACCTCCAACCAGGCCTTGTTCACTAATGACAATATCATCCCACGTGTGTTCCACATTGCCAGAGCTTGTCCATGCCCAAACTCTTGCTTTCTTTCAACCTGGAGCACCAGTCACCTGATCCTGCTAACTTCTTTCAAAATACCCCCTTCTCCCTCTTTTCTTTCCACCCTCAGGACCCCTGTCCCAGCTGTGTGCTCACTGGACTCTGAGTGGCGGAACAGCCCTTGACACCACTATGGCCTGCCTGTCTCTGATTCCTGGCCTTTAGATTTGTCTCTCACAAGAGCTAGGAGTCCAGGCACCTTCCTGTGGTTCCTACAGCTTTGGTTCTTTTTCCTGGCAAGTTGGGGCCACACACTAACCTGGCAAAATGTGGGAGAGGGAGCAAACTGTAGAATTTGGAGGTGGGAGCTCTTGATTGTAGACTAGACTTGCCACTGGCTTGCCAGGGGACCCAGGCAAGTCCTTTATGGTTTTTGGACCTTGATTTCCCCATCCATGCAGTGAAGATGAAGAGTTTCACAGTCTTGAAGGCTCCGGCAACTCTGATGTGTGGCGATTTATCACCTGTGATCTCTTCTAATTACAAGACTCATTCATGGGGCTTCTGAGATGTTCCTTTTTCCCTCTCTCCCTACCTTGACAGATTTGTCTTCTAAGGTGAGTATCTCCTTTGCCAAGCCCTACTCAGACCTCATTTCCTGTCTCTGACTCACTCCGTTTGGCTTCTTCCCATGCCTTATAGCGTAGGGTGTGTGCATTGATGTACAAATGTATTCTGATTGTTGGCGTAGCCTCTGCCTCTGTGTTCTCTTGGTCTTGCAGAAAGTCTCTACCTCCTGTCTCTCCTATTCTATCTCAGCCCCCACACTGAGACCCCATGGGATCTTTCTCAAGCTTAAATCTGAGCTTGTCACTCTCCTACTGAAAAACCTTCAGTGGCTCTCCAAAGCCTCAGGATCAAGGTTATCTCCTTAGCCTCCTTTTCAAGCATCCCACACCCCTCTACAGTCTGGTCTGGTCTCAACCTAACTGCTCTACTCATCTGCTCCCAAAGAGATGGGCCCCCAATTCCTTTGCTGATTCTGTCCCTGTGCATGGAACATGCCCTCCCCTCGCTTCTGTGTCCAGTGACATTCTATTCACCCACTGGGCCTCAGATCAACTGTTATTTTCCTGGGAAGCTTTCCTTGATCTCCCCATTCAAAGAAAAATGCTGTTATTTGTGCATTCCCGCAGAATGTTATTCACTTTACAGAGAAGCATCGTTTTCTTTCTTCTTTATCTCATGGTAAAGGCAGGGGCAGTGTCTGCAGAGGCAGCCAGGTGGTCAGCACATTGGTACTGCTCAGTATACATTTGGTGACTAAGGGAGTGGCTTCTTTATGGACTTCTGGCTTTTGTCTCCCACCCCAGTTGGGCTACTTGAGAGGCCTCCTCTGATCTACCCACCATAGATAGATCTTCTTGAAGGGCAGCTGGGTTCATCTGCTGCCAAGCCCAATGTATGTTCCACATTTAAACAAAGGAGCAGGAAGAAGCCAGGATTAGTGCAAATCCTAGTCACTGAGCACACAGACACCTGCTGGCACAGGGAGCTTTTGTGAAATTCCCAGCAAGTGCCTGCAAAAGCCAGTGGTCGATGGTGCCCATAGGTGGGATTCCCACTGGCTGTGCTGTGGAGCCTGAGCATTTGAATTCTTCCAGTTCTAGAGAGCTGGAGCTGGTGCTTGAGATCGATGTGTTCCAGCCCACTCATTTTATAGATGCAAAAGCTGAAGCCCCAAGAAGGCTTCCCAAGACCACCCAGCAAATCAGGGCAGGGCTGAGAAAGAAACCCAGGGCTCTTACTCCTGGGCCTGGGTTCGTCCATCTTCACCAGGCTGTGAGGTTTTATGAGTACAGTTGTAATTCTTGGATGGTTTCTTTCATGAATAGGGATTTTCCTAGAGCTGGATTAATATGACCTTGAAATTGGCACTTGTCTTTGAAATTCCAAGAGCAAAATCACTGATGGAGGAAGCAAGGGAGGGGAGAGAGAGCGATGGGAGAAAGAAAAAAAGGAGAGAGAGAAACACAGAGAGAATAAGATAGGGACAAAGAAAGAAACACAGGGCCAGAAAGAGATGGAGATGAAAAACCATCAAAGCCCAACAAAGAGATCAAAAGAGAGTCAGAAAGAGACCACCAGACAGTGGGTGAGGGAGACTACAATAACAGAGCCCGCTCTACAACTGCCTGTCTCCTTCCTCCGCAGGGCCCCTGGGAAATACTTCAAAGGCAAGTGCAGCTGCTGCCTGCTGTGGATTCTGTGAGGCCTCTAGGATGACATGGCTTGAAGCATCTTCACTGGAGCCCAGGGTTTCAGCTTTCCAGGTAGTGCGTGGGTTATAGCAGCTATGTGAGTATAAGGTGGGACTTTGAGAAAAGTGCTGGAGTCCGTTGGTTTTCCTGAGGCAGCACAAAATGCTAAGAAGGGCAGGAACATCTAGCCCTGGCCTGGGGTCTGCTGCCTGGCTGGCAGTCTTGAGAAGGTTTTTACTCCAGAGCTTCAGTTAGCTGGTCCCTAAAGTTCTCCTAGCTTTAAAGTTCCTGACTGATTGAGCCGATGGGACTTAAAGATAAAAGTGTCCATCCCTTCTTGGATGCTCACCCCTAACTACTACTTTGGGATCATGTCAGCCATCAAGGATGTAGTCAGAGAGGAATTGTCCACCCAAGGAGACTAACTTCACCTATTGATTTCTCCAGCTAAGAAATATTCCTGGTAGAAATGTGAAATCATGGACTATCAGAGCTGGAGGGGCACCAGGCACGTCTTTCTTGAGTTCCTCATTGCCCAGAGAGATAGACTCAGAGAGCTGTCATCAGGTTGGGAGCTAGAAGGTGAACTTGCATCTGCTGGCCCAGTCACAGACCCCAGGGCACCAGGCTGCATGCTGAGTGGCAGGGAGTGGAGTGGACAAGTTTCTTAGGCAGTGAGAACAGCCAAGTCCCCAGAAACATCCCCAGAATTTGGGGTGGGATAGTACTGCTTCTCCCTTCTATTTCCCTACTTAGGCTGTTTCAGAGAGCCACTTGGACTGTCCCATCTTATTGCCCAGGAGCTAGCTCAGAGACAGCTGGCTGCTCACTACCCCTTCAATCACCAGGAACTCAAGACTTTCAGCTCCTCTCTCTCAAAGGCTGGTCTGCCCTGTGGGCACAATCTTAGAGAAGGCTGCTCCATGACTGTGCTTTTGGGAGTGCCGGGCAGTGGCTGCAGAAGGCAGCAGATGGGGATATGTCAAAAAGAAGGAAAGGGTGTTCAAAAGATGAAGTTCAGACATACTAATCCATCTACGTTACCCACCATGAGTCACCAAGTGGTAGAGTGGACTTTTTTTTCATAGATATTCTGAGGTTGTCTTTTTCTTTGTTTTTTTTTTTTTGTTTTTTTTTTTTTTTTTTTTTTTTTTTTTTTTTTTTTTTTTTTTTTTTTTTTTTTTTTTTTTTTTTTTTTTTTTTAGATGGAGTCTCGCTCTGTCACCCAGGCTGGAGTGCAGTGGTGGCACAATCTTGGCTCACTGCAACCTCTGCCTCCCAGGTTCAAATGATTCTCCTGCCTCAATCTCCCAAGTAACTGGGACTACAGGTGCCCGCCACCACACCCAGCTAATTTTTTTTATTTTTAGTAGAGTTGGGGTTTCACCGTGTTAGCCAGGCTGGTCTCCATCTCTTGACCTTGTGATTTGCCTGCCTCGGCCTTCCAAAGTGCTAGTGTTATAGATGTGAGCCACTGCGCCCAGCCCTTGTTTCTTTACTTATTCATTCAGACATATATTCATTCACTCATGTAACCAACCAACCAGTCATTCATGCTGTGCATGTTGTAGTGATGGTGGAGGTGGAGGGGTGCATCGGTGGTGGCAATGGTCGTGGTAGGTAGGCTATGTTGGTGCTGCTGGTAGGGGTGCTTTTGTTGGTGGTGGGTGGTACTGATGGGTGTTGGTGATGTTGTATGTAGTGGTGGTGTGGGTGATGGTGCTGATGGTGGGCAGTGGTGGTAGTAGGTGAGTGTTTTTATTGTTGGGTGATATTGATGGTAGTGATCGTGGTGTTGTTGATGGGTATATCAGTGGCAGAGCTGATGCAGATAGTGGTGGTGGTGGTAAGTGTTACCTGCGGGGATGGTGATTGGAACAAGAATAGTGGTGATAGGTGTTTTGGGAGTAAACGTGTTGCTGTTGATGGGAGGATGGTGATAGTGGTCATGGTATCATTGCTTATGATGATGGCAGTTTTTACTAGTAGTGGTGGTGTCAATGGGTAGTTGTGGTTACGGTGGTATTGATGATGGTACTGTTGATGGAAGTTGTATTAGCTTTCTATTGCTGCTATAACAAGTTATCACAAATTTAGTGGCTTAAAATGACACATATTTATTATCTTACAGTTTTGTAGAGCACAAGTCCAACATAGGGTTCACTCGGCTAAAATCAAGGTGTCAGCAGGCTTAATTCCGCTCTGGGAGCTCTAAGGAAGAGTTGACTTCCTTTCATCTTCCAGCTTTAGAGGCCACACCCATTCTTTGGCTCATGGCCTCCTTCCAGCGATGTTGCAAAGCCAGTGATGTCATATCTGTCTGACCCTTCCCCCATTGTCCATCTCTTTCTTTGACCACAGACAGGGAAGGTTTTCTGCTTTCATAGACTTGTGGTTAAATTGTACCCACTCAGGAAACCCGGGATAATCTCCCCATCTCAAGGTCTGTCCCATTAATCACATCTATAAAGTCCCTTTTGCCATGTAAGGTAACAGATTTACAGATTCTGGGGATTAGAGTGTGGATATCTTTAAGGGATTAATTTTTTGGCCCATCATAGGGGGAATGATGGTAGTGACGATGGTGGTGACCATGGTGGTTGTGGCATTGGTGATGATGAGTGTAGTGATGGTGGAGGGGTAATGGCTGTGGTAATGGGGCAGGGTGGGTGGTAATGATGTTGGTGGGTGGTAATAGTTATAGTGTTTTTGAAAGGGCTATGGGAGTGTGAGCAATGGAGACAGATCCCCCACTTTGGTCCTCAGCACACTCTCTGGTCAGGAAGGAGCTATAACCTGGACAGAGCACCTATATCTGCAGATGCATGGTGCTCAGGGACATGAGAGAGGAAAAATGAAAAGCTTTGGGGGCTTGGAAGAGGTAGGTATCCTTGCTGGCGGGGGCTTAGGAAGCTTTCTGGAACTTGAAATATAACTAGCCATTAAAAAACTCCATAACATTAATAGCTTTGGCTGGATATGGTGGCTCACACCTGTAACCCCAGCACCTTGGGAGGCTGAGGTGGGTAGATCACCTGAGGTCAGGAGTTCAAGACCACTCTGGCCAACATGGCGAAACTCTGTCTCTACTGAAAATACAAAAATTAGCCCAGCATGATGGTGGGTACCTGTAATCCCAACTACTTGGGAGGCTGAGGCAGGAGAATCACTTGAACTTGGGAGGCAGAGGTTGCAGTGAGCCGAGATCACGCCATTGCACTCCAGCCTGGGTAACAGAGCAAGACTCTGTCTCAAAAAAAAAAGTTAATATCCTTATTGCTTTGTATTTGTAATAGCTGCTAATTAAATGTAGTCAAGCAACACAGAAAAGCACAAAAATTTTTTTTAAAGTAACCAAAATCTTACTTCCCATAATAAGGTTGGGGAGGGAGGTCATTTCCATACTCAGAGGTAGAGGCTGGGAGGTTCCTAACTCAGAAGGACATTCTCTTCCAGAGGGAGGAAGCAGAGTGAGCAGTGCCCCAGGGGAGGGATGGTTCCATGTCCTGGGAGACAGGGGAGTGGCACGTGTTGAGTGCAGGTGGGCACAGAGCTTGCAGTGGGGTGGAGCAGAACAGGCTCTCCCTTGCCTGCCCTTTGTCCTGTGATCTGCCTGGGTGAGCAGATAAGCTTCAAGGATCATTGCATTCTGTGCATCACTCCAGGGGTTGCGGGGGGTGCATTGAAATGTGTCATGCAGGCCACTGCAGAATTGCAATGAACAAGAAGGATCTAGAAAGGGGCAATAATCATGTTCCTTTTCTCTTCTCTCTCTAGCACCATCTCTCCCTTCCTCTGCCTTTGAGCAGAGCCTCCCAGAATCCTGGGCATTTCTGCCTAGTTGTGGATCTGTGTGAGGCTAAAGAAGCATCCCTGACAATGAACTTGGGGGAAGAGACTTTTTTGGGTCCTACTGATGCTAAGGGGATACCTGGAAGGTATCCATGCAAAGGGGCCAAGAAAGGTCAGAGTTTTAACCAGTCCCTTAAGATGATCAAGCCTATGTCTTTTCAGTCTTTCCCTCCTTGTTTATTCTTTAAGTTGTGACATCCTTTTGTTAAGCAATATCCTCAGTGAAGGTCCAATATGGACAGCAGCAAATAGGAGACTGCTTTGAGTGAAGTCAAGAAAGAAGTCTCTGCCTAGCTGAGCACCTAACACCAGCTGGTCAACTCAACCCAGGCCTTGGATCAGGGTAGGAAATGGGGGGAACATGCTTGTCTTTCAGGGCTGTTAGGGATGATATAATATATGTAAAACTTGGGACTCTGTGATGCGGGGAGACATTGAAGGCTTCCTAGTGGCTTAGGCTCACTCCAGGCTCTGTTTGGGAGGAGGGGATGGGGGTTAGGAGCCTTGAACATGGCCCTGGAGGGTTCCCAGACAGGCAGATTATCATTCCAACAGTTGGCCTCCAGGCACCTCCTGCCCCACGTCAACACACACTTCCACTCTACCTATATCCCACTGCCAACTTAGGTGGCCTCAGTGTCTCCTCGACTTGTCACTCCACTTCAGCCCCACCTTCCAGGATCACTTTTGATAACAATTGCAGCAGTTAATGTTAATGGAGCACTTGTCTCGTGCCAGGCCCTGTTCTAAGTTCTCCATACACGTCATCTTGTTTGATGTTCCCAGTAGCTGGAGCCTCGCTCTGTCACCCAGGCTGGAGTGAAGTGGCCAAATCTCAGCTTACTGCAACCTCCACCTTCCAGGTTCAAGCGATTCTCATTTCTCAGCCTTTCCTGTAGCTGGAATTATAGGCATGCATCACATGCCCAGTTAATTTTTTGCATTTTAGTGGAGATGGGGTTTTGCCATGTTGCCAACCTGGTCTTGAGCTTCTAAGCTCAGGTGATCTGCCCTTGTCAGCCTCCCAAAATGCTAAGATTCCAGGTGTGAGCCACCATACCCAACCAGAGCACTATTCTACTCATCCTACACATGAGGTAGGACCCACGATTTGCCTAAACTCATGCAGGTCAGGAGTAGCAGAGCTGGGATTTGGCGCAAGTACCATTGTGCCTGAACCAAAACCACCTGGGGCCTCCCCACCTCAGCTGCCACAGCTC